AGGGGCTTTCTTTTGCGGGCACTCAGTTTCTCTGGCTCTGCCCAGGCATCTTCGAGTATGATCAATGTCACTGATAAAGATAATGTGTGCCCCCACCCCACCCCCCATCTTTTTTTTAACCCAGTGAAAAGCTGCTAACGGACAGGATTTCCGTCTGTCCCCCGGCACCCCCTACCCCCTTCGCGAGGAAGCTCCAGGGGCAGGAAGTTTTGTGAATCCCGAGCCTGGGTTGGTGAGCGCACCCAACTCTGGGCCCTTCGCAGAATCCACTAACCTCTACCCCTATTGCCCATTAGGGACTCATTCTCCCCTATCAGACTTGCTAGAAATATTAATCTCCTTGTTGGGTGGATACAGTAGAACTTGTTCAGAGATTACTTTAAAAAGAGACCTGGGTCTTAAGCGCGTACTAAAGCCAGTTAATAACATCATGCATGGACATTTAAACTTGTTGTAAGTTGCAGAAAGGATTAGTGAGAAGTCACGCTGTGCGCAGCTAATGATACCATCTTAACTCAACCGGCCTAAATCCACCTAGTCCCGGCGCAGGTCTGGCTCTGCGGCCCTCGGGTGAGGTTGGGAAAGTGGGGGGTCTTGGAGGAGCTCAAGGAGTTGGGAAACTGGAGGATGCCCCGTTTGGGTGATGGTCCTTCGTCCCTGGTGGCTGTGGCTCTCCTGCGACTGAGTGGTTACCAGCCCCCGGATGAGGGCCCAGTACACGGGCCCGCCACAACCCCCGGGCTGTGCTTTAGCGACAATGAAGGGTACTTACCTACATGGTAAAACAGGTTTGACTTCATTAACCAAAAAGGGTGGTGCAAGGTCTGTTGTAAACTCAGATGTAGTTGTGGGATTCCAAAAGTTTTGGCTTTCTGCTACTGATCAATTTGCATGACAAAGGCTATTTACTTTCCATTCTTCTTTTTGAAAAAGTAGTATTTCACAGGTGAATACCTAAACATATTCGTAACTACTTACTGTCATACATTTGCTCAACTGGTTTCAAACTGGTTTTAAGAGAGTTTGCGACTACTTTATGATAGGGCCAATAAGCAATAATCTTGGGCTGGTGTGACTCAGTGGTTGCGCCTCGACCTATGAACCAGGAGGTCGACCTATGAACCAGGAGGGCACAGTTCAATTCCCAGTCAGGGCACATAATCTTGAGACAATGCTTTGAAAATACTGTTATTAAAATACTCATTTTAACAATATTCATTTGGTTCTGTCACTAAGTAGTCGTCTGAGGGATTTCTTGAGTTTCTTTTAATAGGCAATGGCCCTGGAAAAACAAGCTATCATAAAAATTTTAACTGCATTAAACAACTATTAAAGTTGTTTTTGTTTTTTAAGTTTTAAATTCAAAATTGG